TATATATATATATAATGATGATGATGGCTCTTTACTGGGATTTGTGACTTTAAAGGAGAATTATGAGGTCAGTGATTTTCACTCAGCCTCACAATCTGAGCCGACCTGTGACAATGAAACTCACAGGTCGGCTCACTTCTCGATCTATCCGTGCAGAGAGCCGTGATGGTCACTCATGGCTCCCTGCAGGGATTCCCCTCCGTCCGATCCGCCAGTGCTGACTGGGGGAATGGACGGCGAAGGGGGCGGATACAGCTGGCTCTGCCTCTAGATAGGCAGAGCCAGCTGTCACTCACGCATCTGGGTGGATCCAGACAGAATTGTCGGGATCCGTTCCGGCTGCGGCGTCTCAGTATACCGCGAGCTACAGCTGTACTGAGCTTTGGGTGACGGGAGGACGCTAGTTTGTGTCCTCCCGTTACCCTAAGGAGAACTATGGGGAAAAGCACTGACCCCATAGTTCTCCTTTAAGGGGGACTTTACTGTTACAATATAGCTGCTGAAATGCCAACAGGTGAATCTGGGAGAACATTTCATAGAACTAGGATTGTATATAAGCAAAGCTTTGAGATCAGGACGTTATTTCAGCCGGATTCAGTATTGATTTGTAGAACTTTGGATAAATCAAAGGCTCTACTCAACTGGTGGTGATCCTGGTTACCTCCTTGACAAGCAGTCTCCCGACTCAGGTCTGTGTATTTTGTGCTCTGGCTATATAACTCTTCATCCCTTCAGGTGTTGTAGCACTTAAAGAGCAATTGCAATTTAGTATTAAACACAATGCTGCACGGGAGGAGATATCCGTCACACTTGGTTCCCCTAGTTATGGATGCTTTATTGTATTTTGCCAATGTCATGTCTGACACCAGTTCTTGCCTAGGAGGTTAGGATGTGGGTGAGTTAGGGATTGTCCTGTAAGACGGTGCAGTCTTGCACATGCAATTGGTCACCTAGTGCATAGACTCATGTGTGACTGCGTCATGATTCCCTGTCATGAACTTACCTGTACGGATAAACCGTATGCTCTACAATGCATTCCACTGGTTTCTATTAACAGATGGCTTATACTGTGCACACTGAGTGAACAACACAATGATAAAGAGCCTAATGGTGCCAGACAGTCTAAAGCTGGCCATACACCTATAGAGTATCTGCAGATCTTCTATGGTCAGATGGAAAAAGTGCAACAGATTCCTCCATCTACGCTACACTGCGTGGATGGAGGAATCTCCCACTGGGCCAAGCTTTAGTATCTTGCTAGTTTGCCCTGCTGGCTTTTATAACACCTGAACAATGCCTGCATCCAATCAGATTGTTCAGGTATTTTGACAGCCAGTGGGGCTGACTAGGAAGATACTGAAGCTTGGCCCAGTGGGAGATTCCTCCATCCACGCAGTGTAGCGTAGATGGAGGAATCTGTTGCACTTTTTCCATGTGACCATAGAAAATCTGCAGATAATTTATAGGTGTATGGCCAGCTTTAGAGTGCAAAAACGTCTAATGTTCAACATAGAACATCCAACGTGTTTCAGGGATGAGCCCTCCCCTTCTTCAGGGCTTCAACTTAATGGGTAATCATAAGGACACACAATAAGATTTAATTATTTGCTGTATAGACTATAGTCTGATACATGAACAGTGTTACATTCATTCTAGCTATACCCTATACGGCATATAATTAACTCTAGGTGATGCGTGCCATTCTTATGCTTACCCTTGATATTTAAACTCTGAAGAAGGGGGAGGCCTTTGAGCCCCCAATACGTGCTGGCTGCCCTTTTAATTGTCACCTGTGAACCAATACTACTGATAACGTTTTTGGACCCTAAGACTGTTTTGGTGCTCTCATTTGACTTTATACACGTGAACCCTCAAGATGGCGCATAATCCTGTTCAGCGCTTTGGCGGAAAGTTCTCACTCTTCCAAGGACCCAAGAGACCAAATTCTAGATAATCTCACCAGAGGGGCTGCTTTTCAATTGTAGGTTGGGATAACTCTGAGCACGTGCAGAAAAAGAAATCAAGAACAGCGCCCTCTCTTCGTCTGATACCTTTTTTTTTTAAATTAAAAATTGATATAAAAGTTAATGACAACGTGAACCCTCAAAATGGGGCAAGTTCAATGGAT